AATAGCAAACATAAAACATGCAAACCACCTTGGGTATGGAGGAATATTCTGCATGAGAAAAGATAATGACTTTACTACGAAAATTGGCATGTTGACTTTAAGTACAGTGTGCTAGGGTTGTGCTTTTTTGTTGTGACGTAATGTAACATAGGTGTGATGGTGTTTTCTCTTTCTTTCTCTCTCTCTCTCTCTCTCTCTTCCTCCTCCGACTCTGCACGCTCTCTCTTCTTCTCTCTCTCTCTCACTCACACTTACTTTTCTTTCTTCTCTCTCTCTCTCTTTCTACTCCTCTCTCTCTTTCTCTTTCTCTCTCTTTCTCTCACACTCACTCTCATCTCCTCTCTCTCTTTCTCGTGCTTTTCTCTCACTCTCGCACTCTCTCTTTCTCTCTTTCTCTCCATTCTCATCCTCTCTCACTCTCTCTCTCTCTCTCCTCTCTCACTCTCTCCTCTCTCACTCTCTCTCTCACACTCCTCCCTCCTTTCTCTCACTCCGATCACTCGCTTTCTCTCACCTCTCACTCCTCTCTCTTCTCTCTCTCGTCTCTTTTTCTCCTCTCTCTCTTCTCTCTCTCTCTCTTTTCTCTCTCTCCCTCTCTCTCCCCTCCTCTCCTCTCCTCTCCTCTCTCTCTCTCTCTCTCTCTCTCTCTCTCTCCTCTCTCTCTCTCTCTCTCTCTCTCTCCCCCTCTCTCTCTCTCTCTCTCTCTCTCTCTCTCTCTCTCTCTCTCTCTCTCATCTCTCTCTCTCTCTCTCTCTCTCTCTCTCTTCTCTTTCTCTCTTTCTCTCTTTCTCTCTTTCTCATCTTTCTCTCTCTCCTCTCTCTCTCTCCATTTTTCCTCTTTTTTTACCTACCCATTTCTGCCATTCCTCATCCTTTTATATCTATTTTGCCCAATCTTCAGATTTCTATACTGATGTATCTTTGCATATTATGAGCAATTGAGTTATTTAGGATTCATGGTTGATTATTCAGTAAATCATCTCCATGTGTCATGATGCAACAGTTTTTCTTTCTCTTGTTCCTTTGTTACTGTCGTTACCATTGTGCAATTTTATTTTATTTGCCATGTTGAGTAAAATTGTAATTTTCAAGTATTGATGAACTATTACATAGATTAATTTATGACTTCATTCATTCATTCTTTTAAATATCAAATTTTAAAAATATAAATGCATTTTTTATTATTTCATTGTCACTTCTAATCCTGTCCTCATCCAAACAGTGCGGTTGAAGCGTCATTTCATGTGGCGTAATCACCTGTGCCTGGTGTTTGAGCTGTTATCCTACAACCTGTACGACCTCTTGCGTAACACCAACTTCAGGGGGGTTTCACTCAACCTAACCCGCAAGTTTGCGCAGCAGTTGTGTACAGCACTTCTCTTCCTGTCCCACGCCGGAGCTTCAGATCATTCACTGTGATCTCAAACCTGAAAATATCCTGTTGTGCAACCCCAAGCGAAGTGCCATCAAGATTGTGGACTTCGCAGTTCTTGTCAAATGGGGCAAAGGGTAAGAGTGGCATTTCTCGATGTAGAGATGGTCTTTATATTTTTATTGAAGAAAAAAGATCTGTTTATTATCGTTTTGTTTTGTTGAGGTCTTCCTAGCAATAACTTTTATGGGAGAGAAAATGTGGGAATAAAGAGACTTGGTGAAAGAAGATTGTGAAAGTTTTATCCCTCTCTTACAGATATACCAGTACATTCAGTCAAGGTTTACCGTTCCCCTGAAGTGTTACTGGGAATCCCATACAACATGGCCATTGACATGTGGAGTCTAGCTGTATACTTGTGGAGATGCATACAGGAGAAACCTTTATTTTCAGGGGCCAATGAGGTAAGTGTGTCATATTTTATACAAACAGTTTCTTGCTTGGCTGTTTTAATATCATTACCTTTTTTCTTTTTTTATACCTCTAAAACGTTTGTTTCTCAAATAATTGCTGTGTATTTTACAGCAGTATGTACATTTTTTATTTATTTTATTATTATAATTATTTCTTTTGGCTTCATTAGCAAAGATAAACAGCTTTAAATTCTTTCTTAAAATAATTACAGTTTATTGTATCCCCTTTAATATTTGATCATTTTGGGAGTACCCATCACTAAGTCTCAGCAGCTCACGTACTTTCCTTTGTAATTGGACTGTTCTGAAGCTGTAGTCTCTTCTGCAGGTGGACCAGATGAACAAGATAGTGGAAGTGTTAGGGATGCCACCAAAGCACATCCTCGACATGGCGACTAAAGCACGACGCTATTTTGATAAGTTACCTGATGGGACCTATATTCTAAAGAAACCAAAGGATGGCAAGAAATACAAGCCGCCAATGAGTCGTAAATTGCGGGACATTATTGGGGTAGAGAGCGGCGGTCCGGGCGGGCGGCGCTTGAATGAGCAGGGTCACTCAGTCTCGGATTATCTCAAGTTTGAGGATCTGATTAAGAAAATGCTTGATTATGACCCAAAGACACGGATCACTCCATATTATGGGCTGCAGCACAATTTCTTTTCAAACGAACGAGTGACGAATCCACAAACACGAGTAACTCCACCAGTCCAGCAATTGAACACACGGTGGCCTCCCCAATCAACCATTCAACCTCACAAACTGGTTGGTCAAACTCACGACTTCTTTTATGATATACTTTACTTGAAGGTGTAGCCTATACTATGGTAATTGAGTGTAAACTTGTAGATACTGCCATAAAAACAGTCGACCTGTTAGTGTATTGTCATTTCTATTTCACATTACCAGTAGATATGTAATATATGAGGCTTTGTAAATGACAGTTTCTTGTCCTCTTTTTTTCTTTTTTCTATTGAAGTAGAAATTATTAATTTGTAATAGTTTTGTTATTTTTGTTTTATTATTTATTTATTTTTATTTATTTTTACTTTTTTTTTCAGTGGTGGTGTCGGGTCGTGCACGGTCAGACCCTTCGCACCAGCACACTCACACAGGGCACTCTCATGGGGCTATGGACTGTGAGGTGTTTACTCATCATGCAGCTCATCCTCCCCACTCTGCCCACCATCCCCGCCACGTGCACCCATACCATGCCCACCGTTGTCGACCACTGGACCCTCGCCCTCTAGATGCAGCCGGACGGCCCCAACCTCAGGCTACGGCAGCAGGCAGCGTAGCTGCTGCCGGAGGATCCTTGCCACCAACGGCAGTGTATGCAGCTCACCCATATTTGCCGATGGCACTGGACCTGTACCCAGACCGGCTCTGTGAATCTGCCCTTGGCACCTAGTGGTGGTAGTAGTGGTGGTGGTCCACCCCAAGCATCCTACCAGTATCCTGGCATTCCCTCCTTCCCACCTTCCACTTCCAGTAGTAGTGGAGGCAGTGGAGGACAAGGAAGCATGGTCGGGTATAGCTACCCTGGTGGTTCTCTAGTGCCGGTTGTGTCAGGAGGCCCCAGTGTACTGTATGAAGGGGCACGCCCACCTGGGGGTCATCTTGAGCAACCACAACCGCTGCCCATGTCTCAGCAAGGTGCAGCAGGAGCAGCAGCAGTGGCAGCAGGAGCAGTGCGGGTGGGACAAAGACAGAGCAGCAGTGGTGGAGGAGGTGGAGGAGGAGGAGGAGGTGGAGGAGGAGGAGCAGGAGGAGCAGGAGGAGGAGGTGGTGGTAGTGGCTCAGGAGGGGCTGGTGCAGGGGGTGAGGACAGCCCCATGGTGGTGCAGCACAGCCCCCTGGCCAGTCATTAACCCCTGGGCTGACCTAGCAACCTGCTCAACAGTGTATTGTAAACAGTGGGCAGCCAGGCTTAGGACAGCTAGGAGTAAGTGAGCCTGGGCCGAGACAGCGCAGGGCGGGTGGGCACATTGTGGTGCAGGACCGTGTGTGCCTGTGTGATGTGAGCCTGTAACACCCAGAGTGGAGGCTGGCGGGGAACCACCCATGTTTCAGCGCCGCCGCCCCCCGGCCCCCCTCTCTCTCCTGCCACTGCTTTTATCTTGTTATTTATTATTCTGGTGAGGAGGGGACTGGCCAAGGGCCGCCCTGCATCTGGCTGCCGGGCTGCCCGGGGGCCGGGCCGGCTGCGTTGGCTAATCCAGTCTCAGGAACTCCCTCCCCCCACCGCCACCACCACATCTAGACTACCACTTCCCTTACCCTCATCAACACTCCTCAAATAATGCCATCACTACCACACCCATCAATAGATCACCACCAGCATATTGCCTGCCACTGATGCATTGATAGTGCAGTAACCCCTCCTTTTTCCCTTTGTCTGTCTGATATTATGCATAACGTTCATAACTCAGTATTCAGTGAGTGCATTTGGATTATTGCACTCCAATATCCTCCTACTACTTTTCCCAACCTTTTTCTAATCTTCAGTCTTGCAGAAGCACTTATCATGCAGAAAAAACACCTTCAGAGCAACACTGGTTCAGCTGGCTCCTCTCTCACAACAGAAATATTACACATAGTGAGCCAGTTCAAAAGTGTAGACAACACAAAAAATCTAATCATGAACCGTTTAG